AGGAGAATCGCTTGAACCCGAGAGGCGGAAGTTGCAGTGAGCTGAGATCATGCCACTGCTCCAGCCTGGGCAACAGAGTGAGAATCCGTCTCAAAAAAAAAAAAAAAAAAAAAAATGAAAAAAAAAAAGAACTTTTATATATGTGAAGAGCAGTAGAGATGGAGTGGTGGTTAAATGGAAGTGTGGGGTCTACAGGAAGCTCTTTTAAAAATAGAAGAAATTAGGCCAGGCTCATACCTCTAATCCCAGGACTTTGGGAGGCCCAGGTGGGTGGGCAGCTCACTTGACCAGGAATTTGAGACCAGCCTGGACAACATGGCAAAACCCCGTCTCTACAAAAAATACAAAAGTTAGGCAGCCGGGCACGGTGGCTCATGCCTGTAATCCCAGCACTTTGGGAGGCCAAGGCGGGTGGATCATGAGGTCAGGAGTTCGAGATCAGCCTAGCCAACATAGTGAAGCCCCGTCTCTACTAAGAATACCAGAATTAGCCGGGCATGGTGGCATGTGCCTGTAGTCCCAGCTACTCAGGAGGCTGAGGCAGAAGAATCGCTTGAACCTGGGAGGCAGAGGTTGCAGTGAGCCGAGGTTGTGCCACTGCACTCCAGCCTGGGCAACAGAGTGAGACTCTTGTCTCAAAAAAAAAAAAAAAATTAGCCCGCGCGATGGCTCATGCCTGTAATCCCAGCACTTTGGGAGGCTGAGGCGGGCGGATCATGAGGTCAGGAGATCGTGACCATCCTGGCTAACACGGTGAAACCCCATCTCTACTAAAAATATAAAAAATTAGCCGGGCGTGGTGGCGGGCGCCTGTAGTCCCAGGTACTTGGGAAGCTGAGGCAGGAGAATGACGTGAACGCAGGAGGTGGAGGTTGCAGTGAGCCGAGATCACAGCACTGCACTCCAGCCTGGGCGACAGAGCAAGACCCTGTCTCAATAAATAAATAAATAAATAAATAAATAAATAAATAAATAAAGCATGGTGGTGTGTGCCTGTAGTCCTAGCCACTCAGGAGGCTGAGGCGGGAGGATAGCTTGAACCCGGAAGCACCTCTGCACTCTAGCCTGGGTGACAGAGTGAGACCCTGTCTCAAAAAACAAACAAACCAATAGAAGAGTCCTGAAATGTGTAAACACTGATGGGAAAGGGAAGAAAGAGAAAGAGGCTGATGTAACAGAGAGAAGTAAATAGATATGAAAGACCTTTGTGACCTCTCAAGTACTGTGCAAAATTAGTAATTTATTCTTCCTTCAGAGTCAAGAGGCTTTTTGGCCCAATGTTATGCGAGTAGAGGGCACTTAGGAATAGTTGGGATGTTGAATATTCAGAAGAGCGGCGAGGATTTGAGGGCAGCTGCAGGGTCAGGCGGGGCTAGCCACAAGCGAGGTGGCCACACAGAGGGTCTCCTACCCTGAGGGCCGTGGTGGTTCAGAGCTACTGTGATAGAATGATTAAGACTGGAATAGGCCAGTTCCTGCTTTGTAAAACAGTTCGTCATGTAGAAAGCATTTTCAGCTCTCTGGAGTAGCTGTGCTTTATTGATACAGTTAGCAGAAATCTACTGAACAGAATTCAGCATTTGAAGACCGTAAATTCGTTTTGATGAATGGCATCCCTCAGAACATGCAGAATTGGGGATTTCTCTCCTGGCATTTGAGGGTCAGTGTTTAGTGGGGACATCCAGCTCCCCCTGCAGGTTGGTATCCAGCAAGGTTCAGTTCTTTGCCAAGCACTCGCTATGGGGACATCAGTTATAAATAAACAAAACACTCGCCGGAACGTTACGGTCATCCTGCCCAGGCAGGCTCCCAGCTTTCTGATGGATATCAGACACTAGCTCTGGCCTCACAGCATGGTGGTTCTGAACACTGATTGTATTTAAGCCCTCTCTGTTTTGCTCCTGTTCACCGAGGAGTACTAGTGAAAGATGCCTGAACAGAGCAGTGTATTCTGGTGAGAAGGAAATCGCACAGGACGGAAAGTTTGCCATACCCAAGTGATTGAGCAGACAGCTTTCTTCCTCTCCTTTTTTTTTTTTTGAGACGGAGTCTCGCTCTGTCGTCAGGCTGGTGCGATCTTGGCTCTCTGCAACCTCTGCCACCTGGGTTCAAGGGATTCTCCTGCCTCAGCCTCCTGAGTAGCTGGGATTACAGGCATGCGCCACCACGCCTGGCTAGTTTTTGTAGTTTTAGTAGAGACAGGGTTTCACCATGTTGGCCAGGATGGTCTTGATCTGTTGACCTCCCAAAGTGCTGGGATTACAGGCGTGAGCCACTGCATCCGGCCAACAGCTTTCTTCTTAAATCTTTGGAGGCTCCCACTCCTCCAGCAGAGACAGCCTAGGAGGTGATTGTCCTGATAGTTTTTGTCATTGTATCCTGCTTTTGTATTTTGGTATGCTTTGCCACTGATTTTGAGTATACCACTGTTACTATTTTTTATGGTATTATTTATATTTTATCAACATTCTGTAATTATTTTTTTAATATGACAAGATTTTATGTAGGGTTTAATTTCAGTTAGGAGAAATTATTTTGAACTAGATCTCCAGTCTTATGATGGTGATGAATAGGTTTTACTAACAGAAATTTATTTTAAGGTAAGATTTTTCCAGAAGGCAACTAGTTAGTAGAATTTATCTATTCCAAGCAATAAAAACTTCCTGAGGATCCATTGTATACCAGTTCTTGGGCTAGATGCTAGAGAAACAGATATAAGTTCAATACCATCTCTGTCCTCTGGGAACTTACTGTTCAGGCAGAATTTCCTAAAATGTATTTTGGAAATACTAGGTACATGAGATTCCTTGGTCAAGTACGTTTAAAGAATATTGCTTTGTTTTATCATCAGTTTTCTTAGAGATTCTCATTGTATATGAGTATATCATGGTTTTGAGAAGTTCTGTGGTAAAGTTCTCTGTATAAGTTTAATCCAGTGTTTGTCAAATTTACGTCACACACAAGCTCAGGGTGTGTGTGCGACATGTCTTTCTTTCTTTTTTTTTTTTGAGACTGAGTCTAGCTCTGTCCCCCAGGCTGGAGTGCAGTGGCACGATCTCGGCTCACTGCCAGCTCCGCCTCCCAGGTTCACACCATTCTCCTGCCTCAGCCTCCAGAGGAGCTGGGACTACAGGCGCCCGCCACCATGCCCAGCTAATTTTTTTGTATTTTTTTTTTGGTGGAGACGAGGTTTCACCATGTTAGCCACGATGGTCTCAATCTCCTGACCTCGTGATCCACCCGCCTTGGACTCCCAACGTGCTGGGATTACAGGTGTGAGCTACCATACCTGGCCAATGTGTGACATTTCTTAACAACCTGAGAACCTCTGGAGCAGCATGGTTCAACAGGACTTTCTACAGTGATTGAAATGTTCTTTATCTACCCTGTCTAGTACAGAAGCCCCTGGCCGCGTGTGGCCGTGGAGCACTTGAAATGTGGCTAGTGTGACTGAAGAACTGCATTTTAAATTTTAAATTTTATTTAACTTTTTTTTTTTTTGAGACAGAGTCTCTTGCTCTGTCGCCTAGGCTGGAGTGTAGTGGCGCGATCTCGGCTCACTGCAAGCTCCACCTCCCGGGTTCACGCCATTCTCCTGTCCCAGCCTCCCTAGTAGCTGGGACTACAAGCGCCCGCCATCACACCCGGCCAATTTTTTTGTATTTTTAGTAGAGATGGGGTTTCATCGTGTTAGCCAGGATGGTCTTGATCTTCTGACCTCATGATCCTCCCGCCTTGGCCTCCCAAAGTGCTGGGATTACAGGCATGAGCGACCACGCCCAGCCAAATTTTATTTAACTTTAATTAATTTAAATTTAAATAGCCACATGGGGCTAGTGACTTCTCTATTGGATAGGGCAGCTTTGGAAGCTACTCTGAGACATGCTGAGCTAACGGTGTGTTTTTATTTATTCATTCTACAAATATCAAGTTTGTGGTGGTCACTGAGTAAAAGCATCCTTGTCTGCAAGGAGCTTCTGATTTAGTGGGGACTGCAGGCACCTGCCATGTAATGATGAGCCTAAGGTGATTACTGGGAGCACAGAGGAAGGGTTTGAGCTTGGTAAGAGAGGTTGGGGGTTGATCAAGGAAGGTGTCCTGGATGGGTCCTAGAGAGTAAGTTCTGGAGAACAATTAAGAGTTTGTACAGTGAAACTTACTCCATCTTTCCCCCTCTCCTCCCCTCCGCTCCCTTCCCCTCCTCCCCCCTCCCTTCTGCTCCCCTCAAGAGTTCAAGACCAGCCTGGGCAACACGGTGAGACCCCGTCTCTACAAGAATTACAAAAATTAGCTGAGCAGGGTGGCGCGTGCCTGTGGTCTCAGCTACTCGGGAGGCTGAGACGGGAGGATTGTTTGAGTCTGGGAGGCCGAGGCTGCAGGGAGCTGAGATTGCAGCACCACAGAGGGGCGCGTTTAGGCCAAGGCTGG